TCGAGGGGTTAATAGGGGCAATAATTATGATCGATTCTCGCCTCGCAGTGTTCGCGATGGTATCGATCATCACTTGTTTTTACCGTGACGCTCTTTCTATCATCATTCCCCCTTGCCTTGCTCCATTCTTTTTTCACACTCGTCCTGCGTTTACACGCGTCCCTCTACGTCAAAATATAATCAAACCTCCATTAAAGTTCCAATCGTCCCGTTCAGGGATCCCGTATCTGTAATGAGAATCGAAATTCCTCCTCTTCCGCTCTTTTTTCTCCCTTCCCTTCCCTCGTAGAACGCCGATTAATAACGCGCGGACGTCTATTTATCAATCGTACAATTGATGTTCTCAAACATCAGCTTCATCCACGATGTTCCTTTCTTTCGTCCATATTTCCAGATCGTCGGAATATTTGTTTTTCTTAGATATTAATTTAGATTTGATTCTTTTTGGATTTTAATCTTTAAAAGAATATAGGAAGAGTCGATAGCGATAATCGAATAGAAAATTAACCGCGTCGAAAACAAATTTCCAATCGCGTTCGATCAGCCGCGATCCGTTCGAGGATCGATCAATCGATTCTTTTGATCAAAGAGTGAAAGGTAACAAGAAATCATTGCGACACGAGTATCTTTGACTCTCTCCTTTTTCCTTTTTTAAACGATATTATTACGTCCATGCTTGGATACACTTGACGTAGCGCATAAATAACAAAGTGTCATTGCTTAGTAATAATAAACTGTAACTCGTTCGATCAAAATTTCATTTCATTCATCCTGAAAATTATGCGTATTTTAGCAAAAGAAAATTCGCTGAAACTATTATTTTCTTTTTCTTTTCAATATCTCTACTTTTTGAGAGATTTCTAATCTTCTTTTAAATAATTAAATTATAAATTATGACAATTGATTGTCTGCGAAAAGAATTCCTTCGATATTTATCCTTCGATATTCGTTATGCATTTTCGATGACCATAAAAAAAGGGGGGGGGGAGGAGAAGAAAAAGAGAGAATGTGATACGATATATCGATCATTTTCATTGAACGGGTACGGATTAAATATCTCGCGTCGATACGCGTATGCAAATTTCCTGTTTTATACGAATATATTCCCCTATCGTGGATTCTAACCTCGAATTGCTTCATTAACGCTCTCCATTCAAGGCAGATCGATCGGGATTCGCAGCGTGAGAACTCACAATCAGCTGCGATCCCTTGCGTTTCCACGGTATGGAAAAGCCTTGATTCGATATTTCTAATTATTATTCACTGCATTCGTCGTTTTAAATGATCGACGAGATCTAGTTTCTCTTACTGTTACCAGAGGCGCTCGAGTTTTATTCGAATTACGAATAGAACGTTAATATACGTTAAGTTTCACTTGCTCATTTCTCGGTTATTTCAACGATCGATATTTTCTCAATACGTAATTGAGCAATTTTGGTGCACTTTTCTGTTTGTAGTTTCTTTCTTTTATTGTTCTCATCGTTGGTGTACAATATTAATTAATCCGATCTAATTGGTAGTTATTTCATCATCGGATCGTTTTCTCTTTCAAATTGAAAATGTTTCCGAAAATTCTTTACACCTGTGTCGCGCACATCGTTACAGCTCTCTCGACGAACGTTAACATCGTTCAACCTTGGCTACTCAACACTTGCCACGATTCTTCGACAACGATTCAATTTCAACGAATCGTCCGCCAATTAACCGAAACCAAAAAGAAAAAAACCTCCGCTTTGAAGAATCCGCGATTCAACCGAAATCCACCGAGTTGGAAAGATCCGAATGGAACGCGGAATATCACGAAACAGAGGGAAAAGGAATGTCACTGGTGCATCTCGGTCCCCTGATTAGATCATCAAGAATCGTCCGTCGAGGAGTCGGCAAATGGCGACGCAGCGGGCAATGAAATGCAATTTATTCAGGTTAGGGATCACTCCCCGCGAAGATACAATTCGCCTGACGCGTAGAACACCCAGAAGCAACTGTGGACCGGTGGGAAGAGAGAGGAGGGGGGGAAGGCTGGATGCGCGCGCCCCAAGAGCTCGTTATACGGGGCAATGGGAATGCGACGGAACTGCGAGCGAGCGCTGCTCCACAGCCGGACCACCCTGTTCGATACCGGAGAAGAGGGATCGAAGGACAATGTTTCACTTGAATTTACTATCGGCCCTGTATTCCGCGTACCCGCTCGGCTTTCTTGCGACAACGTTCAACCCGCGGTTCAACCTCGAATAACCGAGGAGGTCGAAGGAACACGTTGGCCCGCTTCAAAGTTGAAAGAAAGTTTTTCAAAGTTTGAAAACAGTTTCACGGTGATTTCGTGCGAAAAGTGATCGTGTGATCGACAGATTGAAAGTTGAGAGGAGTGTTAAAAAGTGAATTTTTGAGGTTAGGTTGCGTTAATGCATCACTGCGATGGTGAAGAGAGAGTAGAGAAAGTTTTCAATATTGGGAGGACTGGTGGGAGAGTTCGGGTGAACATTTTAGCGTTAAGAGGAAAGTGCCAACTGATACAAATGAAACGAAACGCGAAACGTACTTTTGAAAGCCGTTAGTATATAGTAGTATGAAGTTTGTAATATACCTCATTGGAATTTTCCTTGGAAGAACTAAAAATACTTTCTACACCACGATAATAATACTCATTTGTAACCAAGTACGGTAGCGAAGGTCGTGTATACATCGTCATGTATACAGCCTATAGATTTTCAACAAAGGAACATCAACTTCCTATAATTTCTCTTCAATCTCAGTCAACGTAACTTCGATCGGAAAATCTGCACGTACAGCATACTCGGTACAAAACGTACTTGGCATTAAAACGAGTCGCGCAGTCGACGTGTGTCGTTTACGTTAAAAGCACGAATAACGACGTAATACTTCGATCCGTTTCTCGATTTTCACTGTTCAACACTAACCCTTCAGCTAAAGCATCACGAGATAAACACTTGTCACGACTTATATATACACACATCGCACTTCTCTTCGCATTTTTTTTTAAATTTATACTAAAACTGTCCCTTTATCAAAAATATCTCTACCTTCTCTTGCGTCACTTCACTTGACATCCCTCACCATCCACCAACGCACTTCCGACAAAAAGAAAACGCGTCGATCGAGGGGGAGGGGGGAGGGGAAGGGGTGCCGGGTGCCGGAGCCGTGACGATTGCGTTGTTAAAGCCGATATCCGTTCCATTATTGAGGTCATGTCCGCGCGGATCGAGACGATAATAGCAGTTACGCGGACAACGATAATTATGCAGCGGACTTTTCTCCGTTCTTTCGCTCCATCTAAGTCGAGTCAGCTGACTGCGTGACCGATGATGTCACCGTTGCAGCGTACTCTCCTCGACGAGCTCTCCAGAGGAGCGACACCCACTTCGCCTAACACCTACTTGCAGTGCAACGTCACGATTCAAGTACTCCTCTCTTCTTTTTGCAATCTCGTCTCTCCCATCTTTCCTCTTCCTTCGTCGTTTCCTCTTCTGGTCTCCGCTTCCTCCTCTCTCTCTCTCTCTCTTCCCTCCCCACTGCGTCCCCGCGCGCGTCTTTCTCTTCTCCACGCGTAAAAACGGTCGTGAGCCTCTCGCCGGTTGTACACCCGACGAGAGCTTATTAGAACACACGTAGCTAGGATCCGTAAACGGCAGGATTCGCCCACGTGGGCAGCGCCTTCAAAGGTATATCTGTCTGTCGTTCTCGAGTCTCTTCGAGTCATTAGCGGGTCTCCCTCTCCCCGAGAATCGAAGCCAGCCAGGGGAAGACAGGCCTCTTTGTTCGGGGGAGGGGGACGATCGAGGTGACGGTGCGACATATCCCTTCCAGGCAATGAAGTCGTAGCTTCGCGATTTAGGGCGGGATTCAATAAGATCGATCGTTGAAATTTATATCTCGTTTATTCTATCCGGCCAATTATAAAATTCAGCAACACTTGTAAACTGGTCTTGCAGCGATTCATCTCACCTCGAGATCTTTAATCTCTTCCTTCTTTTATTTTTGCAAATTAACTTTTTGTAATCTCCCTACGTATAATCGTGCCCCTCTCATACTCCTTCTCTTTCGATCGTTCGAAAAAATTAATCCGCCCTTGGCACAAGATTCTGAAAAGATTCCCTGCACCCATTGCCACCATTTTCGCTGCGGGCAAAAAACATCATCCGTACAAATCCCGACACATCGTGACGGAGGAGAGAGAGAGAGAAAGAGAGAGAGAGAGGAACAGTGATCGTTTTCTTTCCCTCTCTCTCTCTCTCTCTCTTCCCTCCCCACTGCGTCCCCGCGCGCGTCTTTCTCTTTCTCCCACGCGTAAAAACGGTCGTGAGCCTCTCGCCGGTTGTACACCCGACGAGAGCTTATTAGAACACACGTAGCTAGGATCCGTAAACGGCAGGATTCGCCCACGTGGGCAGCGCCTTCAAAGGTATATCTGTCTGTCGTTCTCGAGTCTCTTCGAGTCATTAGCGGGTCTCCCTCTCCCCGAGAATCGAAGCCAGCCAGGGGAAGACAGGCCTCTTTGTTCGGGGGAGGGGGACGATCGAGGTGACGGTGCGACATATCCCTTCCAGGCAATGAAGTCGTAGCTTCGCGATTTAGGGCGGGATTCAATAAGATCGATCGTTGAAATTTATATCTCGTTTATTCTATCCGGCCAATTATAAAATTCAGCAACACTTGTAAACTGGTCTTGCAGCGATTCATCTCACCTCGAGATCTTTAATCTCTTCCTTCTTTTATTTTTGCAAATTAACTTTTTGTAATCTCCCTACGTATAATCGTGCCCCTCTCATACTCCTTCTCTTTCGATCGTTCGAAAAAATTAATCCGCCCTTGGCACAAGATTCTGAAAAGATTCCCTGCACCCATTGCCACCATTTTCGCTGCGGGCAAAAAACATCATCCGTACAAATCCCGACACATCGTGACGGAGGAGAGAGAGAGAGANAGAGAGAGAGAGAGGAAACAGTGATCGTTTTCTTTCAACTCGGTTGAAATATCGCGGCGGAGGTTGCTCGCCGCCACTTTTTCCCCGGCTTGGCCCCCGATTTGCCGCGATCCGCCGAAATATCGGGGTGTCCAACGTATAATAAGACACGGCTGAACGTCGCCGCGAACACCTTGGACACATGTCACACGGGTCCTTGTCGCTCGTTCTACGCCCGCCACTCGTCAATTAGAAGCGACATCGTTCCCGACACGAAAAACCTGGCCTGGCTAGTACCTCGAATCGGGGCCGTGGGGATTCGGGAGAATGACATTAACATACCGATCATACGGGCGAGCGGGGGAGAGAGATGGAGGGAGTGGATAGAGGATCGAGGGAGGCAAGAAACCCGAGATCCTCTCCGGGAGTCTATCTTTCGAGAAAACCGGTGAATTCCGTGCGGTTCCCCGGAATCGATCGAACTTCGCGCCTCCGGCCACGATGGGGCTCGGGTAATTAAGGAAGACGACTTGATTCCGTTTCTCGTCTTCATTTCAGGGGGCCTCTGTCCGGGGCATTTTTTTACTACAGCGCAGGCATTGCGCTGTTTCGAGTGGTGGATTCGGTTATTATTAGGGAGCTGGTTGTGCTGGTTATGAGTCTCGTGATGCTAATACTTCTTTCACTTCTTAAAAATCCTCGATCTCTAAATTACACGATAAGCCAACAATTGAACCAATCTATTGCATCCACCAATGTCTTCGAATCACGTCGATAAATAATATTCGTCCTACTGTCGATAACCACACTTTAATAAAATTGAAACAAGTGTATGAATAATTATCAGCACCACGAAAGAGAGGATCTTGTCGATCGACGCGTCTAGGAGACGTGTGCACGGAACAATGGCCCGGTGACAGAGTCTGGCCACCACTTGGAAGGGTGAAAAACGTCCGTCAAGGCGCCGCGAGCGTTTCCCCGTACAATGGCGGCGTCGGGGAAGAAGCGGGACGCGAACGTCGTGGGATACACGAGGAACTGTACATACAGGGTGGGCGTCAAGGACTCTCGAGGCGAAAGAGGAGAGACGATGGACCGGTACTGCGGACCATATGTGGACACCGTGTAGAGGAACACGCTCACACACTTCGGATGCGACTAATAATGATTTACGAAGTCGAAATGCCAATTACTTTATTATCTCACGCGACAAGTGAAAAAAAGATTTTCCTCGATTTAAATTTACTTTCATTCATTTACAAAATAAAATAACTCCATCTCTAATCTAGCAAAGATTTTGTACAACCATTTCCTCCTTACTTATTCCAGACGTATCTCTTCGCCTATCCTTGATTAATGCAGCCGGCGTTGTCATAAGCGATCGCTTCTCGAAACCCGTGCTCGTAAAATCCCGTATTTTCCAACGTTAACAATGAGATTCCATCACACGCTCTTTCCTCCTCCGTTCGGCTAATTGCTGGAATCCTGGTGCTCTCGTGATGGCACATCCGCGAATAGGAAAATAAAGAGGAGGAAAATTAAAAAGTGGATACGCGTGTAGACGTTCGAATACTCGTTTGTCGAGTCCGTGTCCCGGCTGGCAAGACGGATACCGTGTTCCTAGGGAGTTCAGGTTCCCCGGAGCAGCGCGTGCCAATGTAAGCGACTGTTTCGCGGCCCTGCACCGATCAATCGTCGGGTTTTACACTGTTGGGAGGCAAACTGGTTTCGCAGGGACGTATTCGCGTTAACAGGACGCCCGTGCCCACCGTGAGACGAAAAATTGGTCCCGGAAAACTCGAGTAATTTTTGGCGAGAAAATTTTTTTTATTTTTAGGAGCAGCTCGTTTCTCGATACATCGTCTTAGATATTTGAAATGTTCCCTCGAGAATCGGCGCTAATTACTTGTGCTGTTAATAAGTATAATTGGATCGTGATTGTGAGGGAGAAAGAAAAACATGTGAAACTGGTTGGCGTTCCATATACATAAATCTTGTGTTTATTTTTAATCGAGTTTTCTTGTTTCTATACCTCCTTCGATATTTTACAAGTTATATCAAATGCTCCGAGTATCGTATATCTCTTCTCTTTCTTCTTCTTCTCTTTTTTTTCAACACATATTACACGTGGAAACGTTGCACGACGATCCACTAAAAATCCATTCTCATGCTCTCCAGTATCTTAAAATACTGACGTTACTTCAGAGATCGAAATATCGAAACCTGCTTGATACTTTAAATTCAACGTTGTATTCTGCCTTCTTAATACGAGTCTCCTAATACGTTCGATCGTCAAATATATTATCGCCAAGTGTAATCGCATCCCAATTTATGCACAAATACAAAAGAATGCTCGGCGGGGAACAAAGCGTTGATACGACTAACACCACGTCACGAATCACCCTCGTTATCGTATCCTCCTCCCCTCCCGTCCAGGATTAAACCATTCGCGTGCACTTGATCGAGTTAATAACAAAGTGTCTCGATAACGGCGGAACGGCGTGGGTGTCCGAAAGGGCGATATCGATTAGGCCAGCGTATCGGGCGAGGTTAACGTAATCGTCTAATAAGCAAGTTTCACCAGCTTGCTACCGCAATCACTCCTGCAACGACGGATCAATTATCGGATGATCGAATGCCGGGTATATTTTGCACCGGTTCCCTTCTCGTGTCTCATTTGCGTAAGCGAGCGTGGCACGTAGGCCTGTGGGCTCGCGTTGCAATCATAAAAACCGAGTGTAATCGGCGTAATTACCAACCAATGAACGGTTCGTAGCTCCTAGCTGGTGGGTAATGTCTGTACCTACCCGTCGGGGTAGGCCTTTCATTTCGACCGACCCACGTAAGGCAACGCGCGCGAAAGAAAGAGAAAAACAGAAGGAGAAACGATTTTCTCGATCGAGAACGGATCGTCACGAAACGTATCGAGGTCCACGCACGCGTGTGTACGTGTAATTGCGCGGCAAGGTTGGAGATATTCCGAGAAAGATCCGGTTGGGATTCGAACGTTATTTGGAAGGGAAAGTGTCGTCTTTCGCCCAGCCTAATTTTCTGACTAATCAAAACTTTCGATTTAGATATCTTAATATCTCAGAACTGTATTCACTTTCGAGCGATTCTTCGTTCCGAAATAGCGAAAATATCTATGAAGATTTGGAATGTTGGATCGTTGCCAATCCTCTGAAATATATCGAATTCCATTTTCTTCCAACTCTGAATTGCTCTCGATCGCAGAGAAAATTATCAGGGATGAATAAGGGAGAGGCACGCAAGGCACGAACTGGAGCGGCGTGTATGGTGGCTCTGATAGAGCCACATCAGCGGAAAAGTACGTATAAGATTGTTCTTGCAACCGGACTTGGGCGCGCAGTCTACGTGCATGCGGTTGTACAACTCGTCCAGAGGTTGGACTCCAGTCGTGGCGAGCCCTCGTAATCTTTAGCCCCCGAGGTCAGCACGAGCTCGTCCAGAGATCCTCCGTAGATAGAGAAGCCCCCCCTGAGAAACTCGTGTTGGTATGTTGCACGAAGCCACCCCTCTGTAGATAGATAGCCGACAGTGCCTGGCCCAGAGGCCGCATATTATGCGGCCAAAGTCGTGCTGCTCCGGCCAAAGACAAAAGCCCTGGATGCTGCTTCGTGATACAGCAAATAGCAGAGTTCTATAATTTTATAGGATATGCCGCTTAATATTAATTTTTCGAAGAAGTTTTATCGTTACGATCGAAAGAATGGAGTTTTTAAAAAACTTGTTTAAAGAGCTCGACTTTTTGCCTCATAAATTAAATGTTCATTATTATTAATCACGAAGAGACGTTTCTTGAGATGATGAAGAAAATTTATCTTACGTTGTTTATCACGATTTAGGTTTTAATTACCCTTAACTTTAATCGGTTCAAGAGTAATGAATATATTGGTTACGAATCGAGAAGATTTATAAATATTCCGTTCAATCCTTATATATATATATATATATAGTTGGAACCTTTAGTTTCGTTACAAATTGCGTGTTTATCCAAGTCTCTCGTCGAAGATTAACATTCAGATGGTGACAGTGGAAGCGAAGCACTCGTGTACGTACTCGTAACATCCGTGATAACAGATAAGAGCAGTTGTCCAACAGCGGTTCGTGAGTTTTACCAGGCGCGAATATCAACTAATAAAAATTCCTCTTATCTTCTCGATACTTACGTCATACGTTCCTCAACGTACGAACAGAGATATCTTCTTCGAGCAAACATTTCCAAATTTCACGCGAAACAGAAACACCAAATTCCTTCCCGATCATCTCCTCTTCTTGCTCTTCTTGTTTCGTAATCGGCCAAGAATCTCCATTCTCCGTTCGAAATCGAGGAAGAAATAGTCGAAGCTCGATTATCTCGCGCTCATCTCAGAGGATCGGTACATAGAAATGGCGGTTAGGTTACTTGTGATGCAATCGCGGATCCTCTCCTTCGAGAGAAGTTGCACGGCTCGCGGGAAACCTCGCAGGATCGTGCATCTCGCGTGCATCCTGCACCGCGTGCATAGACTCCGTCCAACCGCGACTTTAGCATCGGTTTAACCTCATTCTTGTGGCGGTGACGTCACATTTGCCTTTCCCTCGACTCTGGACCTTCCAGCATCTCCCGTGATGTGCAATCACCCATCTATCGACTATTATAGACGCACGGGTGATTATTCGTCTCGATTCGTGAACGATTTGCGAGCGAGAACGTTTCCCCTGTTTAAACGCACACGATGCTCCTCCTTCCCCACCAACTGTGCCCGGCAACCGAGCGAGAAACACGAAAACCGATCACGAACGAACGAGTTTGCCGCGGTATGTGGCCGCCGTGAAAGTAAAGTCGATTGTGAAATTTAATGGGCTATGATTCGACTCGCGATTTTCGTGCAAGGTGCGATTATATTTTAATTTTCCTTTTGCTTTTGTAAAATTCTGATATTGCTGCATCGTTGATCGTTTCTCTTTTGTTGAAATTTGATTTTTATTCGGAATTCTTGTTATTTGAATAATCTATGCGTTTCTAATGAAATGTATAAATAATATTGTTCTATTATTTTTTGGTACATCTTAAAAATCGATTAAGGAATTGATTTATTGACCATTGCAAATTTCGATGGTTCCTAAGATTTGAAAAATCGTAGCGTGAGGATAAATGTGGATGATGATTAAGAATCTTTGTTCCTTCGATATTCTTGTAATTATATTGTAGTAATTTGAAGTAATTTTGATTAATTAGAAATATTTTTTCCATTACTTATACGAACGCCGATTGGCTTGTTTTCCTTTCTTGTCAACGATAATCCGTCTTCGACGCCGCAGGATTATTAATAATTGCTCTATCAAACAGTCATTGGGACGAGCGATGATCGTCGCACAGTTGATTTCGTAATTGCAACGAACAATGCTGTTGCATTCGGCAAATTTATTTCATTCGATAGATAGATTGTAAAAATTATATGTTTTCGCTTCGTCGAACGAACCAATAATTCCATCAATTTATATCTCTATTTAAGGCTTCCAGCATCATATTAGATTTAACAACCTTGCAGATTGCGAAAAGATAAGGGTGATGCCTTTAGCAAATTTTTATTTTCCAGCCGTCATTAATGGGGTTATCGATGCTCAATAAATTTCTCATCTTATCTAAATTACGTCCATAAGAAGATGTTGAACATTTCATGCACAACAAAATTTCACAGCTGTCAATTATAGATGATTATCGATCAATGATTACCGGTACAACGATTTGTTCAATTTCTACTCACTTGTATAATAAATTGGAGACGTGGATAAGAAATCACGAATGAACGAACGTTATTATGCTTTAATGAAAAACTATCGAGAATAAAAGCTTTTCTTTAACGAAAAGAAAAAGTAGGCTTACTTTTTTTAAAGCAATGCGAGCACGCGTACACGTCGTGCTCTTTTCTTCTTCCAAGTAAAGCAGGCTATTCCTTAGACATCCCCCTTCGTTACCCTCTAACTAAGATGCGAAGGCCCTTTGTACTTTGGGCTTTAAACTGTCCCATCGATGTTTCAAAAGCAGCTACAAAGCTGCTCTCGACTCTTGCACATTGTATCTATGGAACCCTCGATCACAACCAGTCTTCTTCAATTGTCTATTTTCAAAAGTGCAGTAGGTTTCTAACCTAACCCAACCCAACAACCTTCAAACGCAACGACGCTTTCCACCGAATATCGGAATAACGATCACGCGTATCCATTACCCGGTGATTAACCAACTACTTTGAATTGTTAAAACTCGGTCACACTTTCTGAAAAACAAAATATCCTGTTAAAGATAGGGTTATATCGTGATTTTTCCCAACACCGATAAACTTGTCATTATCGATTTACAACCGCGTAAAATTATGCAAGCGTAATTACGATAATGTTTATCGAACAATCAGCTCGCGCGCAAACAGTAAACTGTAGAAATATTTGAGCCAGATTCGCCGCGATAACGCGGCCATTATCGCGCCTACGAAGCGCGACGTAATGCGTTACGGTTAGGCACCACTGGATGGGGACTGCCGACCCCTCCCCTAGAAACTGGTCGATGTGACAAATTACGCGATATCAAAGGATCGAGGCGAGCAGGAAAAGAGGTATGGGCTTGCGCAATATATTTATCACCGGCATAAGTTCTGTCTTTCCGCAAGAAAGTAATGGGTGACGCGCGAAAACCCTCGACTAACAATGGCATTGATTGCTCGAACAATCGGAAACGCGATTTCAGAAAAAGAAAAAAAAAAAAAACGAGGGGAATTTCGTGTGGGCAGTCCTAGGATTTCGAATCGTCGGTATTCCAAGTTTTCTTTTCCATAAAAATATCCATTCTTTTTCTTTTTTTAATGAATTCGTCTTGAGAAAAATGTAGCTCGATTCGAGCAGAATCGTCCGTGGAATTTTTGACGATTTAACTCGCTTATCGCAAGTTTATTTGGTTGTGCATTACCAGGAAACACATATGTAGATATTTCTGTAGATTTGACTAATTTCGGGTCCATCTTAAAAATAGTTTTTAGAACATGAGAGAAGGAACGTTATAAAAACAGATAATTAAATCAATAATCAAAAGGATTAAGAAATAAAATATAATTCGTTACGTTATTGTTATACGTTCAAAAAAAGATTTTCTCCGTTAATCGTAGACGATTAATTCGATTATGAAAAGAATGCTCGATCTCTTTCAATATTAGATACTCTACAAGTTCACTGCATTATCAGAGATACGTTTAATCCTATTCTAATTATATGGATGACATTCTAATGTCATTCCTCGTCATGTCTTCTTCCCCTTTCTCATTTCCCTTTTTTTTCTTCTTCGAAACGACACGACCGGATTATCGTTCCTCTGTTTCAAGAGTAGGCGCGTCCTTAGACGAGGATACCTATAATATATATATATATATTTTCTCTCTCTCTCTCTCTCTCTCTCTCTCTTGTATACGTCTGTC